AAATGTCAACTGAAAAACATCAAATTTGTATTTTTACGCTTTAAGCGTGATTTATGTTTTTTAAATAAAGAATATTAACAAATAATTGGTGGAAAGTATTTAGTTATCTCCACGAAACTATTGGTAGCAGAGCATTAAGTAGTGGAAAGGTATTTGGTTAGCTCCACGAAAACATAGGTAGCAGAGCGTGGTTTTGCTGTTTGTTGTGGTGGCTAGAAGGTACCACTGGTGGAAGAAAAACGTAAGTCTAAGCGGCGTCCCCTGAACGTGACCGGCCGAGGCAGACATATCTGTGGCATACGTTGGACGCTGAGAGGAGACGAAGGTGCTGGTGTGTACTAGCGTTAAGGATCTAGAAGGGGACCAGGCAAGCAGCTAGCATCCAAAAAAGAGTATAGACGGCGGCGGCGCGAGAAGAAACGAGGTAAACTGTAGCAGTCCTCTGCAGGTTGGTCGGCCCGGCTCCTGTGTTGGCATATCCTTGCGTCGCGGTCTAGATAAAGGTTGAATTTGCTAAAGTAAAATAATTACGTTGTTAAATAATTAAAAGGAAATGGATTTGGCTCAGTTAGTTAAAAAGAGAGGTACTTGTAAAGCTAAATTGACTTTATTTGCAAAGTTTGTTGCTGGTTTAAATGCCAAAAAAGAATTAGGTGAAGTAGATTTAATAGAGTTAGAGGAAAGGATCACAGCAATAGAAAATTGTAATATAAATTTTGATCAGTTTCAATCTGAATTAGAGGAATATACTGACGATCCTAATGAGTTGGGAAACCACCTAAAAGAAAGAGAGTTATTTGAAAATAGCTACTTTTCAAATATGTCATTGGCACGAAAAATTATAAATTGTCATAATCGATCCCCCCAAGTCCCTCCTTCTCAAGGTACTCTTGGTCAGTCACATGACAGCACAAATTATCAACTATCAAATGTACGTTTACCGACAATTTCCTTGCCTAAGTATAGCGGTTCATATCATAATTGGCTTGAATTTCGTGACACTTTTCAATCATTAATACATAAAAATGTCACTTTGACAGGGGTGCAAAAGTTTCATTACCTCCGGGCTAGCTTGGACGGAGACGCAGCTCAGATTATAAAAGCGCTTGAATTATCNACACGGCGTCCTGGGTAAGCGGCGACAAACGGCCGGTGCGGCCGGTGCGACCGGAACGGCCGAAGCAGTGATTTTCAAAATTAGAGCATCATAGGTTCTGTCCTACGTACGAGGTACCGCCCGGCACAAGCGGCTCGTGCGGTTTTCATGCGGACGACGTGATCAAATTATTTGATAATTCCGCCTCTGCCGCTTCAGTTTACATTTTTAAATCTTAAAAATTATATGAGAATTATATAATCGACCATTCGAGAGAATGGACCTGCACTCTTAATAGAAATAGGCGTTAGCATCGCGTCGGCCACTTCAACCGCGTCGAACGCGCCGGCCGCACCGGCCGTTTGTCGCCGCTCACCCAGGACGCCGTGTTTTAAGGATCTAGAGGCGGACCAGGCAAGCAGCTAGCATCCGAAAAATAGTATAGACGGCGGCGGCGCGAGAAGAAACGAGGTAAACTGTAGCAGTCCTCTGCAGGTTGGTCGGCCCGGCACCTGTGTTGGCATATCCTTGCGTTGCGGTCTAGATAAAGGTTGTATTTGCTAAAGTAAAATAATTACGTTGTTTAAATAATTAAAGAGAAATGGAATTGGCTCAGTTAGTTAAAAAGAGAGGTACTTGTAAAGCTAAATTGACTTTATTTGCAAAGTTTGTTGCTGGTTTAAATGCCAAAAAAGAATTAGGTGAATTAGATTTAATAGAGTTAGAGGAAAGATTCACAGCTATAGAAGATTGTAATGCAAATTTTGATCAATTTCAATCTGAATTAGAGGAACGTACTGACGATCCTAATGAGTTGGGAAACCACCTAAACGAAAGAGAGTTATTTGAAAATAGCTACTTTTCAAATATGTCATTGGCACGAAATAGTATATTATGTTACTAGGAGTAGAAGGCGATCATTATGTGTTGAGCCCAAAAGTTTGCTCGCCGAGGCGTTAGCCGAGGCTGAGCAAATTGGGCAAAACACATAATGAGCCTTCCACTCCGAGTGACATATACTATTTTTTCTTCAAGCGTGAATATAAAAAATTACTAATTTTGAAAATTTATAGCGGATAACGCGATGTTCAATCTCAGCACAAAATAAAATCAGTAGGTAGGTAATACTATTTATTTTATACATTTTATACATTTTATTGATTAATTAAACATGACAGTTTTAACCACTTTATTCATGAATAAAAAAACAAATGTAACAATTATTTTTCTTTAATTTGAATTAAACGAATAAACATCTAAATTACCTACATGTCTATCATCAAACTTTATTTATTAACATGAATATTAAATGTGCAATTTTGTATGGTACAGTTGTTGATATTTAAAGCGCTGCTGGCTGTCTTTTTTTCAAAGTTTACAGTTCTGTCGTTGAATACGTTACTTGTAATAAGGTTCTCAGTTTCAGTGTTAACAATTGTACCATTATTAACAGAAAAGTCTTCGATTAAATTATTTTCAGGATCAATATTTACAGTTTCGCTTGATGTACTTGGTTCATTATACTCTAATGGGTTTAATATTTTCATCGCTATCTGTTTCTTATTGTTTACAGAATCTTCAATGTATCCTTCAGCGACGCTGGTAGATTTCCATCCACCATGTCGCTTTAGGGTTGTAATGTCTCCACCATTATCAACTAAGATAGTTGCCGAGGTTCTTCTAAGGCAATGCCCCGTATATTCATGTGGATTTGGCAACCTTAAAAATGATGCAACATCTTTTGGCACTTTTGAAATTTTATGTATGCCCATTACAACACGATGACAATGGCCATTTTGATATTTAATAAAAAATCTATCAAAAGTTATGTCTTTTGGCCGAAGAGTAGCATATTTTCTGTATAAATTTAAATAAAACTCTCCAATTATGGTAAATGAACGATGTTTTTTAGTTTTTGTATTGGGAATATTTACTAATATTATATTTCCCAAATCTTTTACATCATTAACTTTTACTTGAATGAGTTCATCGCATCTACAAGCTCCTGTGACTCCAAATATTAGTGCAACCTAAAAAATATAGAATTATTAATTTTGTAACAATAAAAAAAGTTGGAAAATGCAAGGAAATTCTAAAACATGACGTAATTTTAAGACATCTATATTTATGAGTTTTTACAACATTCTTCCAATGAGCTATCTTTATTTCCGAAAATTGTTTATTATTCTCGTAATGGATACTATAAAATAACTTGAAGTTTACAAATTATAACAAAATTTTGTATTACAAATATAAAAAGGTTAAATATATATCTACCTATAATTTAAAAAGTACATACCTTGGTTGCTAAATATTTATCATCAGGTGCTTTATTCAGGAATTCGTCAAATTCTTTTTTAGACAAAACTTTCGACTTTTTTGGTTTATAATTTTCACCTTGTCGTTTCAAAAATGTAATTAATTTTGAATATTTCTCAATATTTACATTGTGTTCTATGTTTAATTTAGATTTTACCATTGAATATTGCGCCCATAAAGTTGAACTTTTCAGTGTTCTGGATAATCTTGTAAAATATGCTATCATCACATTTTCTGAATAAATATGTGCATTATTTTCTTTTGCCCAATTTATGAATTTATCATAAGCATTTTCATAAATTTTTCTCGACTTTGTTGGTATAAGTGTTGCCACTGATGTATTTCAATTTCCAGTAATTCTGGTGGTGTGCACTGCATTTCTTCAGGCATTTTAAAAACGACCCAACGCGACATCAAATTTCAACTGACACTTAATGAAACGTCAAAGCTTCTTGAATCTTTAATTCGTTGCTAGGATACTTATCTACATATTGTTACATTTTTTTACTAGTTAAAAAATGAAAAATATTTGTACTAGTTAAACAATAGGCTGCTTCTAAAGGAGGTGTTGCATTATATAATATAAGTATTATTATACGCTTGAAGAAAAAATTATAAATGATCATAATCGATCCCCCCAAGTCCCTTTTTCTCAAGGCACTCAAGGTCAGTCACATGACACCACAAATTATCAACTATCAAATGTACGTTTACCGACAATTTCCTTGCCGAAGTATAGCGGTTCATATCATAATTGGCTTGAATTTGGTGACACTTCAATCATTAATACATAAAAATGTCAGTTTGACAGGGGTGCAAGAGTTTCATTACCTCCGGGCTAGCTTGGACGGAGACGCTGCTCAGATTATAAAAGCGCTTGAATTATATGAGGCTAAGTACGAAGTGGCATGGAATGCACTTTTAGATATGTATGATAGTGATAGGTTGCTAGTACAAAACCATGTACGTGCATTGTTCAGTCTGGAGCAAATGACAAAGGAATCCGCATTGGGCATTCGGAAAATTCTTGATGATATTACAAAAAATCTTAGGGCTTTAGAACAGCTAAAAGAACACGTGAAGCACTGGGATAGGTACGTTGCTGATATACTTGGTCAGTTCCAGATTGGACAATGTTACCTTAAGAAATTGGGAAAGCTATACTTAAATCAGATAATCCGCACCCGTCTTTCGAAGATTTAAAAAAAAAATTTAAAGGAGCGTGCAGAGGTACTAGAAGCAATAGCTCAAAATGATTTTAAACGTACTTCTTCAAATTCGCGAGACAATACGCGTGGTAGTTCGCGAGGGTTTGTGGCTACACGGGACGCACCAGAGAAAAAATGCGTTATATGCAGTGGTAATCATACAATATCTATGTGCGAAAAATTTAGAAAGCTGAATGTTAATGATAGGTTATCTAAGGCAAGATACTTACGTTTGTGTCTAAACTGTTTGAAAAGATGGCATTTTAGTAGAATGTGTAGAATGAAAAAAATGCCATGAGAAGCATCATATTTTATTTCACAGTACAAAATCGGAAAGTAACGTTTCATCGCGGGCTCCTAATGAAAACAGCGTAAATATGGGGGAAGCGAGACAGGTTCCAGAAAGTTCAAACGATACAGTATCGGTCAATGATGCAAACAAAGGATGTATTAGGAAATCTGCTGATTCGATCGCGTTATCAGCATGTAGCGGTGTAAATGAAGTACTTCTTTCAACGGTTCAGGTAAAAGTAGTAGATAAAGATGGCGGGGCACATATAGTACGTGCATTATTAGATAGCAGCTCGTAGTCGAGTTTTATCACGCAAGAGTTGTGCAAAAAGTTAGATTTACCTACCGAAAAAAAAATTTTTTGATGCGAGGTTTAAATCAAAAATGCTCAACCATTCGTAGTAAGTGCAAAATGAGACTGCAGTCTGTACATGGTAATTATGAGTCTGAACTATATTGCTTTGTGCTTGATATCATAACCGGATGTTTGCCACAGGGCAGGATCAATCCCGGCGAATTGGATATTCCGCGAAATTTAAGGTTAGCTGATCCTAGCTTTTACAAACCAAGTACTGTTGAAATGTTCATCGGGGCTGATTTGTATTATGACGTCATATGTACTGGTATGATTACGTTAGATAAGGGCCCGGTACTGCAAAAGACACGATTTGGATGGGTTGTTGCCGGTCCCATGAATAAATTAACTTCAGAAGTAAATTGTTATTTTTCTCAGAATTTAGAAAAGACCGCGTGCGAACTTTCTGAAATTCAGGCTAGCTTGCAAAAGTTTTGGCAGCTAGAAGAGATTAACGTAAAACCGGTATTGTCTGATGAAGAAACTGCGTGTGAGGAACATTTTGTTAAGACAACAACACGTGATTCAGAGGGACGGTTTGTAGTATCGCTGCCGTTGAAATCACCTGTAACTAAATTAGGTGAATCCTTCAGGGAGGCAAGTAAACGATTTTTGTCTCTCGAATCTAAACTATCGAAAAGGCCGGTATTTAAGAGAATGCACGTTGATTTCATGCGAGAATATGCTCAGCTTGGGCACATGGAAAAAGTAAAAACTACAAAAGACGAGTTATGCTATTATATGCCTCACAAGGGGGTTTTGCGTGAAGAAAGTATAACTACAAAATTGCGGGTAGTATTTGACGGCAGTGCGCCAACATCATCAGGATTTTCATTAAATCATTTGCAAATTGCAGGTCCAACCATCCAGCAGGATTTACTTAGTATATTGTTACGGTTCAGACAGCATAAGTATGTAGTTGCGGTGGATATCGCCAAGATGTACCGTCAAGTATTATTAGAGCCTGAGCAGCGGTGTTTGCAACGCGTTTTGTGGCGCGAGAATCCTGAAGACGAGCTAGAGGTATGGGAGTTAAAAACAGTGACCTATGGTACTACTTCAGCGTCTTTTTTGGTTATTCGGTGCATTTTTCAATTGGCGGAAGAAAATAGTGTTAATCAGCCGGAGTTAGCTCAATTATCAAATCCGATTTCTACGTTGACGACCTTTTGACCGGCGCCGATACTGTAGACGATGCCGCGAACATTTGCAAGGGTGTAACTGACATATTAAAGCAGGGTTGTTTTGAGTTGAGAAAGTTTTATTCAAATGATAGCGAAGTTCTCAAAAATATCAATGACAAACATTCAGATAAAAAGGTGATTGAGTTTGGTGACGAAGAAAATGCAAAAACGTTAGGCATTATGTGGTGCCCATGTTCCGATCTTCTGCAATATAAAATCGTGCGGTCTTGTGATTACGCAGACATAACAAAACGAGTAATACTTTCAGAAATATCTAAAATATTTGATCCTTTAGGATTGCTTGGCCCTTGCGTAATCAGTGTCAAAATTTTATTACAAAAGCTCTGGCTAGAAAAATTATCGTGGGATGAATCTGTACCCCCACCAATAAAAAGACGGTGGAAAGAATTTGCCGACGGTTTGCTATTATTGAATAATGTACGCATAGAAAGACACGTATTATGCATTTCAGCGAAACGCGTTGAAATGCACGGGTTTTGCGACGCGTCTGAGGCAGCCTACGGGGGTTGTATTTACATTAGATGTACTAACGAAATAGGAGAGATTTCCGTTAAGTTACTGTGTGCCAAGTGCAAAGTAGCTCCACTTAAAACCGTTTCATTGCCACGATTAGAACTCTTGGGAGCTGTGGTACTTGCCAGGTTAGCAAAAAAGGTGAAAGATTCATTCGATGAATGCTTCTTTTGGTCGGACTCGATGATCGCTTTATGTTGGTAAAAAACTCTATACCAGCCATATAAATTAAAAACTTTTGTTAGAAACCGCGTAAGCGAGATACAAAGTTTGACGGGATTCGATCACTGGCGTCACGTGCCAAGCAAGGATAATCCGGCGGATATTCTATCGCGAGGCGTCGCGCCTAAAAAAATAGTTGATTGCAATATTTGGTGGCACGGGCCACACTGGTTAAAAGATCAATCTTTAAATTGGCCCAATAGAAAAATCAATTGTTCTAATACGCCAGATATACAGAAAGATAGTCGTAAAATTTTTATAATGCAAAGTGAAGAAATTTTTAAGAAGTTTTCAGACTTAGGTAAGCTGAAGCGAGTGGTTGCGTGCATGCTCAGATTTATAAATAATTGCAAGACAAAAAAGGAATTAAAACGAGTTTTTTAGCCAATTTATCTCGGAAAGGGAAAATATTTCAGTGGTCCAATGAAAGTCAAAATTCATTTGACACGTTAAGGCGTACACTGTTAAACCCACAGATTTTACAATATCCAAATTTTTCGAAAGATAACGAATTTATACTTCGAGTTGACGCTAGTGGATACGCACTGGGAGCAGTGATATCAAACTCAGATGACAGGCCTGTTGCGTTTGCATCTAGAAGTTTAAATAAAGCAGAAAAAAATTATAGTACGGTATTTGGTCCATGAAACACTTTAGGCCATACTTGTTCGGTAGAAAGTTCAAAGTTTTGACGGACCTCTACTATACTTATTTAGTATGACAGATCCGTCGAGCAGATTAACGAAATTTAGACTAGCTTTAGAAGAATGCGACTTTTCTGTACATAATGTGAAAGGTTCAGATAATGTTACAACCGATGTTTTATTTTGTGTTGTCATTGAATCTAGTTATTAAAAGAAATGAGTGAGAGAGAGAATGAAAGGATGAATGTTATGGCACGGGCGCAAAGCAAAAAGTAATTTAGAACGTGAAAGAAACAAAGCCAATACATCGATAAGCAATGGGCTTGATCACCCTATTGTCGTCGAAGTATTAAAACAACCATTAGAAACGGTAGAACTTCGTCTATTGTTAGAATTGTAAAGAAGTAGAGTATAGAAAAGGAGATATGGTTTTAATAAGTAATGAAAGTAAATGCAATAAGTTGGATACTCTTTTTAAAGGTCCCTACAAAGTGTTAGAAGTAAAAGGTTATAACATAGTTTTAGACATTGACAATAAACATGTAGAAATACATAAGAATAGGGTTAAACGATATTATAACTAAGTAGGTAGACATATAAACCTAATAATTACGTAAAAGAAAAAAATTTAGTTACAGCAATTTTTTTTTGTTTTTCGGGAAGGTGTACTGGATTCGTAACTTAATTGGTATTACAAAATATATCAACACTGATTGCGGTTAGGAAAGAGTCCAACGCAGCTTTTCGTAATTAATTATTAAGTAAGTATCGACCTACATCGCTAATATTGTTTAGCAAATAGTTTTTAATATGTAATGTATCTAGGTAAAATAGGATATAGTGAGTTGTATTGTAGATGAGGTGACGAGAAGACCTAGCGCTATAGTATGGTATCCTGCTGTAAGAGTTTTTGTTCCTTTGCTTTTCGTCATCGAAGAACCTGAGCCCTGACCAGTAGGGACATTACATCCAGAATTTGTATTAATTACTGGGACGCGAACATTTCATTAACTTAGGCTGCGTTCACCGAATGGTCGAACCGGTCAAAGTCGTTCAGCAGACAAATATTTCGTAGGTCAGCCCAATCAGCTGATTGGAAATATTGGGCAGGTTTTAATACAGTTTATACAAGCCCATTCAGCTAATTGTTTGACTAAAGAAGTTTGACTGACTAGTTCGACCATTCGCTGAATACAGCCTTAATTAACTAATTTTTTTTTTCACACTTAACAGATAAATTTGTTACCCTGTTTATAAAATGAAAGTAACTAAAACAATTTATAACAAAAAACATGAAAAAGAAATCTCCATATGAAAATAAATTGTTTATAAAATATTTTGTTTGATTGACCTGGGGCTTGTAAGCAAGCTCGACATCTACAATCTACACATGCAACTAGTTTCCGACACAGAAGTGAAGTTAACACATGACTTATGACATGCCTGAACTATTCTTCTTCATAGATTTTTTAGACTATTTTAGAGTATCGACTAGCACGTCGTATAGTTTTTGTTTAATTGCGTCCACAGAACGTGCATACAAAACCATATCAGCATAATAAACATTTAAAAATATTGACGGCCATTATGATTTTGCAAATAATACATGCCTTAATAAATAAAGTGAAGTAAATGAGGGATGATTTGACATAATTCGACAACAGTCTACTTGTATTTCCGTAACTAATAACCATTAATAAGTTTACGAGTTGAACTTAAATACTGCATTTGTCATGAAATGGTAGCAAATATGAGAAAAACCATGACACAATTTTTATCCAGAATAAAATGTTACATTTAAAAATAGTAGGTATTAGTTTATTTATCAGTACACGCACTTGTCCACTGGTAGCTAGTAATACTTATTAGGGAGATATTTTGCGATAAACTATCTAATCATAAGTTATACCAAGTTTTACTTAAATACTTATCTCTATTTGCTTTCAAGATCATTTTTTTTGGAATCCCAAACTTGCGTAACGGGAGATCCAAAAACTCCATAATTTTTATTTAAAAAAAAAATTGAAATAGGTCTACCAACTACAAATGTGAAAAATTCATATTTACCCAATTTTTCAGTTTCCTATAAATTTTGCATAATTCTGTTCCGATTTCTGCTGATTTTGAATTAATTTTTAATGCCTTCTCATAACATCTTTTTGCTTTATCTAAGTTGTCAATTTTTTGATAATATTTTCCTAAATGCATGAACGGCAAAAAGTTGTTAGGGTCACATCTGGCAGCCTGAAAATAAAATATAATATATATCGTTATACAGGGTGTCCCGTTCATGTTTCAAAAAAACTTGTGTAAAGTTTTTTTTTTAGACGCCCTGTTTTCGAAATAATTATCTTTAAATCGGCTAAAGATAAAAATGTCAAAACACGAGTAAACTGTGCGTTAAGAATAATGTGCAAACGGTTTCTTTCTGAAAAGCAGTGTCGCCGATACAGATAATTGGAAGGGTACAATAAAAAAAAATATGTTAAGTCAAAATTTGTTACATTGCTAAACGGTTTAGTAAACTCTAAAGCATGTTACAAAAAAAGGTATACTTATCGAAATTCGGTAGCATGTACCATTTTCGAGAAAAATTAAGTTGCATAGAAGCAAATGGGGGACAATTTCAGCATCTACTGTAACTGTAGTATTTCGAGTTTTCTTCATTTATTTAATCTTATAGCTGTTTTGTTCTGTATATCTCTGAGTCGGTTTCCTAATATTTTCTGTTCATATCACTTTTAATAAGCATTCATGTCCATTAAGGATGGAAACTGATGCATCTCTGGTTGCCTAAATTATACCGAAAAATGGTAGAAAACAGCCCTTTTTTATTCCAATATATCTTTTTAAAGCAATGGAAGAAAGTAGTAAAATTTCATATCACATTTGGCAAAGTATAAATGAAGACAGTAAAGCAAAAATTAATTGGGATAGGTAAATAATTCGTGAGAAATTAATTTCTAAATATGAAGGTTTTTTGGACTTTTACAAATAAACGATTATTTCTTCATAGTATTATAGAATTATGCAATTTTTTATATAGTTGTCTTTTAATAAATAAACTGATTAGACTTTATTTCATAGTTTGTTCAACACTTTATTATTTAAAAAGTTATATTGGAATAAAATTATTAAAAAATATTCATTCATGAATAGCATTAT